GCCGTGGAAAGAGTCAGGCTCTCCTGCCTCTGTCCCAACAGGCTGATCTCTTGCTGTCACCAGCTAGACCCTCCCTCCCTTCTCCCTTGGTTGAAGGTATGAGAAAGACACACGCTGGGAAATGCAGCTCTGAGTTTACTGTGCATGATTAAGTGAAGCAAGGACAAGGTTATCTCTGAAGGAAACGGTCTGTTGTAGCACAGCCTCTTCCTGGTGCCATCTGGGACAATCCCTGTATCTGCCAGAGGCATTTAAGATGATTCTGAACTGGCTGCCTGAGATGGGCAGAGAAAGGGGCAGCCAGCAGCTTCGGAACAGAAAGAAGGGGACCCTTGTGTGCACTGATCAGTCACAGGTTCCCAAGGAGAAAGGAGGGAGTCAAGCCTTCAGCAGGGGCAGGAAGGAAACCAGTGCAGTCTCCAGGGCTGCACCAGTGCTGGAGCAAGTGCCACCGTGGCTACTTCTTCATGATGTTTTTGATCCAGGGCAGGTAGTTGGAGATGCGGGTGTAGACCCCGGGCGGGTTGTCATACCCGAAGGAAACGACACCTTGTGCCACCTTATTGCATACCAGGGGTCCACCAGAATCTCCCTGAGGACAGATGAGAGACTGGTTTTAGAGGCCTCTTCCCTGTGGGAACAGGTTTCACCTTGGTCTCTCCCTGCCCAGGCACTGCCAGTAGGGCTCTGTCACTGCTCCAGATCTGTGGCTCTGCTCCTGCCCCACATGCCCATGGAGGAGCTCTCTGGAGCCAACAAGTTTGGGCTCTGGCCCTGTGCATGGGCTGTGGTGTTAGAGCATCCAGAGAACTGGTCTACATGGGAGCTACAAATGAAAGGCTTATCACCTCCCCTAGGAACCAGCTAAGACTGTGCCAGCAGCAGCCTCTGATACCAGTGAGCCTGCCTGCCACAAGGCCAAGCCCCCAGCTCATCAGCAGCCCATACCTGGCTAGAATCCTTGAGCTCATGGAAGCTGCCAGCACAGACCATGCCGGTGTTGAGATGTGGAAAGAACTGGATGCACTTCCTGCGGCTGTAGATGGAGACTTTGGTTTCAAAGAGCTTGTCGGTAGCACGGTCATTATCGATTCGGCCCCACCCAGCTATGCTGCACTTGGTGCCTGTGGGGAGGTCGCTGCTGGTCTTGGGCAGTGGAATGGTCCTGACATAGTCATTGAGAGTTGCCTTTGCTGTCAGCTGGGAGAAAGCAAAGTTTTTGGAGAAGGCTACGAGCAGAAGAGTTGACGGGCACTTCACGTGCAGGGGTGGGGGAGGCCCAGCAGGACGTATGGCACTGCAAGCTCTGGTGAGCTGCTGTGAATAGGACATGTGGCTCCAAACCCTGCCCATGGTTCCCTCTCAGGTCCCTCCCATTCCTGCCTGGCTCCAGCAATCATGAGCAGAAGCAGCTGATGGTTTGCAGAAGGAGCTAACAGCAAGAAAGTCTGCTCTGCTCAGACCCTGCTAGATCCACAGCCCCACTCAACCCTCTGATCCACTGCCTGCTGCAGGACTGCCTTGCCTTGAGAAGCATGATGTCATTGGACGTGGTTTCAGGGTTGTATTCCGGGTGCTGGTAGTATTTGATAACTCCTCGGACCTGCTGAGTAGTTTCTGGTTCGTGGACGTTGTGAGCCCCCAGGATGACTGTGATATTCCTGGCCATGGGAGCAAAAGGGAGAAGGGGAAAGCAAGTTTGGTCTCACCTGTGTCCTTCTGCTTTTGCAGGCAGGTGGAGAGAGCTGCTCAGCACAGAAGGAAGAGGAACCTACTCCAAAGTTACTCCAGTGATGGACCTCATGGATTAGAGGAGGAGGAAAAGTATAAAGCCTCTGTATGAAGTACTCACCCAGATAGGCAGTGGGCGGCTGTCATCACCCAGTCAGGGGCCACCAGGAAGCCTCCACAGGCATACATCCCTGCCTTCAGGTATGCCATGTATGGGTGGGAGTGGGGCTTAGCCTCATGGCCCCCCACAATCTGACCCCGCAGAGCACCTGAAAGACACCCCACCGCAGGATGAGTGGGTGGCTGCTGAGGTCAGTGCCCAGGCCAGTGCTAGCTTGTGGCACCCCAGCTTACTGGTATTGGCCCATGGACAGGAAAGCAGAAGCAGCAGGGCCAGCAGCAACTGTTGCTGGGGCTGGCACATCTCTTCCCACAGCTGGACTCTCCTTCCAAGATGTGTGGAAGTCTGAGTCTCCTAATGCCCAAGAGCTGGTTTTATAGCCTGGGAGCAGCTGTACCCAGCAGCCAGGAAACCATGTGTGATGGCCTGATTGTGCTAATCAGAGCGGCGCAGCATCCCTGCGGGTCTATCTGCATCTCTGCTCCCCAGCCTGCTTGTGTGCCCCACGTGCCTGGAGGCTGTGATTGGTGAGCGATAAAGCAGGACAGAAAGGCCAGGGCCAGGAGCCTGGTTGCATCCCAAAGCCTCAGGGGTGCTGACTGGGAGGGGTGTCCTATGGTATTTTTCATGTGTGCTTTAGCATTTATCCCCCAGTGTGGCTGCAGGACAAATCACATCTACCTGTTTCTAAGCATGGTGTCTTCAAGCTCTGGCAATCAGATTGTTGCATACTGTACCTTCAGTAGCTCATGACACTTGTTCCTGGGGGTGGTCAGGTAACTTCATGTTTTGTTGGCATATGCCATGACTGTAGTTGCTCTTTCATCTTGTAATGGTTTGAAACCTGCTGCCCCTGGTGGGTGGAGATCTGAAACCCTAAACCAGGTACAAGCCTGAATGAAAGGGGCGTACACCTGTCCTATTCCCACTCCCCTTTTCCTGTCTTCAGGACTTCCTGCCAAGGTCTATAAAAAGGGGAGAAAGGCACGCCTCTGCCTCTTGCTCTTGCTCCTTTGACCTTGCACCTGGGCACATGCTGCTCTGCTGCTCCCTGTGCTACACGTGGCCGTGGCCATCTTGGAGACCTGGGCCTGATCTACAGACTCTTCCCTGCCTCCATCCACATCCAAGGATTGTGCTTCCAGCTTCAATCCACCTCAATCCAGCGAGATCCAGCACCGGGGAGCCTCAGCATAGCACTTGGGTTTTGTATATTTGGAAGTTTAATCTTCCTTACCTTGTTGTTCCTACAACCCCCCTCCCCTGTTAAACCCCTACCCTTCTTCCTTTCTGTACCCTGTTAAACCCCTTCCGTTCTTCCTTTCTGTTCCCTGTTAAATAATATATTTCATTTTGTTAACTTTCAATTTGGTGCAAGGTTTTCATTCCCCCTGCCTTCCTTATTTACCTCTCTATCTGGGAAAATGAGGGATAAGGGAGGTGGGACACAGTTCTGCCTTCTAACCGGGACAGAACACATCTCTATAGGGAAAGCCACTCTGAGGCTTCAATGTCACTCTCTCTAACCCCTTGAATCCTTGGTCCTGCTATGGAAGAGTTTTCTACCCAAAGACCCTGTCTATGTGCCTGTTTCCTGGGCTGCTTTCTGCCAATACTCCTCAGGGGCCTGCACATCACTTCAGAAGAAAATGAGATATGCTTTAATCCTAAATCACCCTCTCTGGAGCAGTCTTTGGTTGCCAGTCCTTACATAGGTCTGTGAGAAGTGGTTTAAACAGCTATGCCTGTCCGAGACATGACCAGCTTTGCTTCCTACTGGGTGTGCTTTCAGGTTAAGCAGCACACAGAGCTCCAAGGCTCCCAGCAAAGGAAAGTGGATCAGGAGGAAGACTTGTCCTAAAAACTCCTTTGGCATGCAATAAGGGTGCTGCTTCTGGCAGACATGCCCTGCATGGGCAGCACTATCAGGCCTGGCACAAGCACAGTGCTTAGATGCTGCTGTTGCCTCTGCCTGCAGTGTACCTGGCAAGCTGGTGTTGGGCTGATTTTGCCATCTCGGATAAGATGTCCTCCAGCGCCCTGCTCACAGCTCAGAGAGGCACAACACTCACCTCTCCTAGCCCTTCCTTCCCTTTTGCTTGTGCCAGCCCTCATTGTTCCAAGCCAGGGATCAAAGCTGGGGGTCTCTGGGCAAGCCAACAGCAGGGTACTCATGCTGGGAGCATACAGGCAAGCTGACAGGGAAGGTATCTCAGGAGGGCATCAGGGAGGCAGTGAGGCTGATCTGCCTGTCTGTCTATGTAGCCGATAGGTGCAGCTTTGTAAGGGAGGGCCTGGTAAAATCACAGCTCCAGCGGGTAACTCAGGCTAAGCAGAGAAGGGCTCTGGGAGAGTGACTCAGCTAGAACAGAGGAGGCGAGGCGTGCTGTGTGGTTGCACCGTGGTGGTTGGTGGTTTGTAAAAATGGGTTTGTTGTGCCTAAAAAGTATGTAAACTAATGGTCGACTAAGGGCATAAAAAGGCCGGGTGTTTTGTCAATAAAGTTCCTCCTTTGCACCTGCCTGGGGACTGCGTGCTGCTCCGTGCCGCCCACACCGACACAAGTCTACATTGCTGGGAGGAGGGTGTTAGAGGAAGAGCTGCAGTATAAGAATGGAAAAACCCTGAAACTTTTTCCTGGAAACACAGAGTATGTATGTAGGTATAAACAAGCCAACAGATAAGTATGTCCCTCTCTTACTGCCTGGAGCAGTCTCCAGCACACCAGAAGAGCCACAAGGCTCATGGTGGGGCTATATTAACCTGGACAGGGAGGTCTAGGACTATGGGCTATCCTGAATGCTAGCCCTTGGGCATCAGGGCTTTTGTTGGATTAAAACCACACTGCCAAATACAGGGCTCCCACTGTACTCTGATCCCTAGTTTCTCTCTGTGAGCAGCAGCTCTCTCCATGACTCTGTATCCTGCAGTAACCTTGTGCAAAGGTCTTGCTTTCTCCTTGTTCCCAGTGGCACTGAGCTGAAAGCTCCCAGCTCAGATGCTCAGGACCATTGAAATTTACTTTTTTGCTCTGCAGCATCCAGTGGGTCAGCAGCACTGGGGCCAGGCTACCCTGCAGACAGTTAAAAACCAGACAGCAGTTCTCTGCCCCAAACTGCTTTAGTATTCTTGTGTATAACAGGCAAGAAGGAAAAACAGCAGGTGGAGGAAGTGGTGCGCAGGATGGCAAGCAGCAGAGCTTGGGATAAATTTATACTTTCCAAACAGTTCAGCAGCACCAGCCTCACTGCCAGTAAATGCTCTGCCCCAGCCAGGCAGCACTAACCACAGGGAGGTGTGTTACTTGTCCTTCCTCTGCAGTGCTCAGGTTAGGTTCAAACCACCCAATTTCCTCTGCGTGGTGCTTGGCACCACACCCCTGCCAACTGCCCGTTGCACGGGCAGCACCCCGCTGGTTACGATGAGCTCTCCCTGCCCCATTTCTTGAGCGAGGACTGGTTCCTCCCTGCTGTCCTTGCATGAACTTGGGAATACACAGCTCTCAGCTGTGAGCTTGTGGGGACAAGTCTGGCACTGACCCTGACCTAGACCTAGAGGGTGCAAAGCAGCATTGATGAGCTCACAAGGAGGGGGATTTTGTGGGTCCTGCACAGGGGAGTCAAGGCCAGAGATTGCAGCCAGGCCTCTGGAGCAGCCTCATGGCCTTGGTCACACCACGCTGACTGTGGCTGACCATGCCACACAGAGTGGGGCTGGCAGGAACACCCTGCAGCTCCCTTCTTTCTGGAGACATGGTTACAGGACAGAAGGTGCTAGGGGGAAGCTGAACTCGTCCCAGCCACAGCAGGAGAGCCGGTGCTGGGCATGGTGTTTGGAGACCAGGCACTGAGCTAGTCCAGCAGAGGAGGGATTGCTGCCCTGGCAACTGCCAGTGGCTGTCAGGAGCTGCATGAAGTGCCACGCTGTAAAGAAGCAGAAAGACTCAGGAGTTTGCTTGTGTGGCATGCTCATTCTGGAGGGATGCTGAAGAATGAGCACCTCCAAATCTTCCATCCTACAGGCACTGAGCACTGGAAATTCTCAGTGCCTTTCACTGTAGATTGGTCAAAACGTCAAAATCTCAAACCTGCCACAAAGGAGGGAAAGTGTGATACTGTGGGAGACAGGGTCTGGGCTGGCCCACTGATGACGTCTTTTATTGGGATGACTTCCAAGTAATTTTACTTTTTGGGGGGGTAAGAAGGGAAATTTTATAAAGCTGTTTGCTTTCTGGTTAATGATTTGCATTGAGGAAATGCAAGTTTCTAAAGAAAACCACTTAAAGAAAAAAAAAACAACAACAAAACCCGTTGCCATTTAAGGTCGTTAATGCGGCCTGAAGGAGATGATCCTGAAACTTTCTCTTTCATGTTCTTGTTTTCCTTAAAATCCAGGGATGTACTGCAGAGACTCCTTTTCTACAGAGACCCACTGTCACCAACCCCCCATTTCAGTGAACTGACACCCAGGCACAACAACTGTGCCTGGAACAATTCTTTGAGCACTGTGAAGAGCCGAGTCTCCAGGGTTTGGTGTCAGCCCAAGTCAGAGGGGCCTTGCTGACTCTTCCCAGCTTCTTTGGGACCAGAAGCATCCTGCCACATTGGGAACTGGGATGTGCCACTGGAAAGACGACCATCTGCTGCTACACAGTAGAAGAGCGCAAAGCTGGAAAATCCAACCAACCAACTGCCAGGAGTGATCAGTCATTTTTAAACCCCCACAGCTCCACCCTTCCTGGAGCAGAAAAACACCTGTGGGCAAATGGATGCCTTGGCTGATGTCGGGCTGCGCTGGGGCCACATGGCGGGGACAGGATGGGTGGGTGGGGAAGTGGAGAGGGAGGCTTGTGGGACAGAGATGGAGATGCCAGCTGCCCATGAGCCAGCTGGGGCAAAATACAAGTTTTAATCAGGATTCTGCAGCAGCACATCAGGAAAACCTCAACAGAAATCACTGATATTTTATCTTGCATTTGTAGCTTGCTGTCTTTCCGCTGCAGCTGCTCATGGCCACCCTCCCCCCGCTCCTCCCCCTCCAAGTATGGAGATGGACACCCCCCTGGGAGCAGATGGTCTCGGGGCAGGAGTGACTGGACATGCCACTGGCCACAAACCCAGGGAGCTGGCCTCCAGGCTTCTCCTGCTCTGCTCCTCTTTGGTCATCCGTGTCTGCAGACAAAATCTTCCCTTTGGGGCTGAGGCACTTTTGTCTTTCTGTTGGCCTCAGCAGGAGCAGGCTGTGGTGGGTTCCAGAGCTTCCGCTGCTAAGGCGCCTCATCTCAGCATCCATGAATACTTGCTATGACCACAGCTCTGGAAGTGAGTTTGAGGGGCTGCAGCTAGTCCCCATACCTCCCCTGGTCCTTCCAAGCCCAGCACTTGGCAGCTATCAGGCAGTTTCAAGTAGATTGTGGTCTTGATGTGAAGGAAAGAGATGAGAAACGTTGCAGGATGGGGTGTCCCTCCTCCACCCCCCTTCATTTCAAAGAAAGAACATCTGAACTGAAATGGCAGCAAAGGAGAAGTACCAAGATAAAACAGCCTGCATCTGTGCAGATAGCAATGGGGAGCCACTGCAGAGCAACAGGAACCCTCCCTTGTGTGGGTGCCCAGCTGAGAAGGAGCCTCATTTGCCCCCAGCCATGGAGCCGGGGACTCACTGCCTCGGGTCTTGCGGCAGTAGCTCAGGGGGACACAGCTGGATTTGTGCCAGCCAGGAAGGCTCTGCTCTGCTGGGCCAACTGCATGGAGTGGAGGGGACCCAGATTCCTCCAGGCTATGGGACCCTGCCCTGAGTTGCTGGAAGATGGGAGCAGTGTTTGAGGTGTGTGGTGATACGTGTGGCCTTGAGGCAGGGAGCTCGGCAGGCTGTTGGGGGGACAGAAGTGAGAGGATGCTGGAAGGGCAGCAGCAAGGGCTGGCACGCAGCTCAGGCACTGTGGCGTGCTGTGTGGGAACCCGGTCCCTCCACTATGGAAAGGTCAGATAAGCCAGGTGCTAGGACAGAGCAAAGGACAGGGGTTTGTCTCACTGGAACAGCTCTTGACAAAACAACCAGCCCTGCCTTTCAGGCAGCACCTGATGTGCTTGTGGAAGGGGCCTTAGGAATAGCCTCTGATCTTTTGCTGGTCCAGAGGACCTGGCACACCATGGGTGAGTGTGTTGAGCTGTCCCAGCAGCTCAGCGGCCTCAATCCCTCCTGCAACTGAGAACATTTGCCTCCCACCTGCCACACACTCTCTGCAGATCTCCCTGACAAAGGGCTTGTTCCCATCAGGTATCTCTTTCCTGAGACTGCTCACATGCTGCCAGCTATCTGAGAAGCTACTTAGGGCCCCTGACAAGGCAAGGTTCTTCATCTTCTAATCTTTTAGGTACAACACATCAGTGCTGTCCTGAGCAGACACATTAGCTGAAGGCTCAGCCTGAAGCAAGAATAAAGCAGGGATGATGTCTAACAATCACATCAACCCTTCTGGTTCCAGTGCGGTTCTGGGAGCATCTGCCTCACTGATTTGAGAGTGTACTCTTTGTGCTGGGTGTGCAACCTTGCACTTCTCTGGACTGAGATGCACCCATGGCCTAGCCTTCTTGCCGATTTCCGCTCTTTCAATCTTGGGGTCATCTCCTGACTTTATCAGCATGGGTTTATTTCCATGCTGCTGACAGAAAAGTCCAAAACACCATCTGAAAGTGTGAATGTGGAGGATGGAGCCCTCAGCTTTTGATGAGAATCACTCTTGCTTGCACATGATGACTTCCTGCAGCAGGAACCTCCTTGGCATTTTCCACTTGTCTGTTCTGCGATCCAGGCTAGGACCTGTCCACGCATCAAGCAGCTGATGGACTCCCAGGACAACTCCCTGCTTGCCATGCTGATGGAAGAAATGATGACTGCTCTTTGCTCTCAACCTGGGGACCTCTCTGTGGCTTATGCCAATCTGGACTGAGAACACAGGTGAAAGCAGGGCAGAGCTTCTGTTGAGATCCAGAGTTAAAAGGTGCTCTGCCTTTCTTTTCTCTATGCCCCTTTGCAGCTGTTTTGGGTGGGGTCCATCCTGCACAGAAATGTGGTTGATGTTGTAACTTCCCTTTTTCCACTTTGGTAGGTAGCAGTCTCACTCATTTTGCATAAGGAGCCCTCCCCACTACCTACTCTGTGCTGGGCCTCAGACAAGCAGCTGGAGAGCACAGCTAGCTGCTGACCTTCCCTCTGGCAGCAAGAGCCTCAGGCCAGTCATGACAGGTGAGTCATGCGGAAAATTTCACAGGTTGGGAATACCACATTGCAAGACTTTCTCTCCAGTCAAGTTTTGCAGATGCAGGGAATAGGTCAATGATAGACATTAACACTGCAATCATGTCAGGACCCCTGGGTTTTGGTCTCAGCACAGCTCCTTGTGCTTTCTGCAATGCTGGGCACAGGCAGGAGCTTTGTGCCTCTATCTGTGACCTAGTCAGTGGGAAGATCCTGATCCACCTGTAGCAGATGCTTGGAGACCTGAAAGTGGAGGTTGTAATGGGGCACACACAGGCTTTGAACAACTGGTTTCCTTTGAACTGGGTAGAGCTGAGCCCTTGCTGCAGCCACACAGGTGCCTGGGCTTGCTGCATTGACAGGGCAGGACTTGAATGGAGACTGATGGGAACTGTGCCCACAGAAGAGCTCAGAGGGGTGAAAGCATGGAGCTTTCTCCTGGAGAAGGGTGCATCTGGGCATGGGTGGTAAACAGGGCTGTTGATGAAGAGGCAGCTGCTCTCTTAGGCTCAGGGGTGGATTTAATGCCACAAAAGGCAAAGCGCTTAGTGTCTCAGACTGTCTAGGTGGCACTTGGCTTTGTTCAGCCCAACAGACTCTACCCATCAAGGTGGGAGGTGTTACCCATTTGACCCAACCTGTCCCAACTCAAAGAGGGGCCTAAGACATTATTTCATTTGTGTCCCACCTTTACAACCACAGCAAAGCTAAGACTAGCCAGACCCTTACTGAGAAGTTATGATAGCTGTTAGAAACAATGTCAATGTTCACAACAGGAAACTTTATTAAACAACAGGAAGCCCATGTTCATGTGTGGACTTACAAAACACCTCACCCTCCTTTCCCCTTGCTCTTTCAGTGCCGCAGGGCTGGCAGACACGGCTCTAACTAATCTCCACGTTGGGTAGGACTGCTGGGATCAGAGCTGGTCCTGTGTGGCAGTCTCACAGCTGCCTCCAACCCACAAACAGAGGGTCTGCTCTGCCTCAAAGCCTGCCTCAAACCTTTGCTCTGTTGTGCATCCCTTGGTTGCTGACCTCAGAAGATGGATGGTATAGAGCTGAGCTGGATGGTGAATCTTTCCCTTCCCCTTTCACTGGGCTATGCTCAATATCCTGAGTTCAGACTTGACATGCTTGACAGGAAAGGTTCCTGCCTGCAGCTGGCTGCCAAGACGAATGTGAACATCATCCTGCAGCACTACAACTTCACAGGCAAGCTGACCAACCGGCAGACTGGGGATGAGGGAATGGGTCTCATCCGCACAACTTTTGCCATCATTAGCTGCTTCATCATCCTGGAGAACCTGCTTGTGCTGCTGGCCATCCTGTGCTGTCTGCGAGCCCGCCGCTGGGTCTATTCCTGCATTGCCAGCATCACTGTAAGCGATCTGCTTGCAGGAATTGCTTACCTTTGTAATCTCTGCCTCTCAGGCAAGAAGACTTTCCAGCTTTCACCTCAGCTCTGGTTCCTGAGGGAAGGCATCCTTTTCATCGCGCTGGCTGCCTCCACCTTCAGCTTGCTTGTGACTGCCATCGAGCGCTACAGTGCCATGGTAAGGCCGATTGCTGAGAACGAAGCCAGCAAGACCCTGCGCTTACGCAGCCTGATCATTTCCTGCTGGCTGCTGTCCTTCATCATTGGACTGCTTCCGTTGCTGGGCTGGAACTGTCTGTGTGACTTCAATGCCTGCTCTGTCCTCCTGCCTCTCTACTCCAAGAACTACATCCTTTTCTCTGTAATCATGTTCAGCATCATCCTCCTGGGAATCATCGGCCTCTACATCTCCATCTTCCAGCTGGTCCAGGCCAGTTCTAAGCAAATCAGTTCTCGGCACAGCCGCAAACGGTCCCTGCGCTTGCTTAAGACTGTGTTGATGATCCTGGGAGCCTTCATCATTTGCTGGAGCCCCCTCTTCGTCCTGTTGCTCTTTGACGTCTTCTGTGAGACCCAGACCTGCACACACCTCCACAGCCTGGACTGGACCTTGGCTTTGGCCATGATTAACTCGGGCGTTAACCCCATCATTTATTCCCTCCGGAGCGTGGAGGTGCGCCGTGCCGTGGGGAACCTGCTGTGCTGCTGCTGTGTCAGGGTTGGGCTTTGCAAGCCTGGGAACTGCTTGGTCATCACAGACATCAACTCTGGCTCATCTACAGAGAGCTCCCTGCGCTACCGGGAGAGCTTCCGCAGCTCTGTAGCACTGAACACCCGGCCCAGAGCACCTCTCTCCAGCAACTCTAGCATGATGAGCAATCTCCCCAGCCTCTGAGAGGCCATGGAGAGAGCAGGAGACGCCAAGCAGCCCCCCAAGATATCACACTGCTGGTCCTCACCTTGCAGAATTGTAGCCTGCATGCAGCTTAGGTTGACCAGGTGCGGCCTCACCCCAGGGGTTAAATGTGGCCAGGCTTTCCAGTGCCTTCAGACTGGGATGTTGCCTCAGTGTCAGTGCAGCACAGGGACAGCTCTTAGGATGGGAAAGAAGGACATGGAACATTTTGGGATTGATGCTGTGCTGAGACCACTGCTGTGCCTAGGTTTTAAGTGGACCCTGCTCTGTGTGTGCATAGATGCTGTACCTGCTCAGATGAGGGTATTTTGCCCCAGGGCACAGTGACAAATAGGGTGGGTATCCCCAGCCAGACTGTCCCCCAACCCCTTGGGATCAGGCTTCACTGGCAGTACTGCCATCACATGTCGTGCAGGGCTGGGGGCAATATTTGAGCCTTCTGCAGTTTACAGCCTTATGGAACTGTTGTGATGGGCACATCTGCTAGGAAAGGATGCAGGCATGATATCTTGCCAGGGAGTCAGGAACAACAACAGGGGTTTGCAAGCGCAAGTGTGTGCAGTTGTGGGGCAGCTCAGAGGCTCCAGGCCAGGAAAAAAGTGCCCCCTTGTAGTGCAGCACAAACTGGCCACAGGATGGCAGAGGTTTGCAGCAACAGCCCGGTCCCTCACCAGTGTGCAGAGGCTGGGTGCTGTGCCTGGGCAAAGGCTGTCATGGTGCTTACAGCCTGGCAGCAAGAAGAAAGAGCTCTACCATGCCTCTGCATTAGGGCTCACCTCCAGTGACAGCCCTGGCACCACCACAGGCAGAAGGAGGTACCCAAAGAAGGAAGTGACTGGGGGTGTCTAGTTCCATCCTGCATGGCAGAGTGACCTGCTCCCATCTGGCTGAACCTTGCAGAGGGTTCACAGTTCTGAGGTGGGTCATGCTCTGTCAAATCTGCCACGTCCTAAGGTGCCTAAACAGGGGGAGGTGCCCACACAAAAGGAGGTGCCCATTGTGGTGGCCACTGAAAGGCTGAGCAGCAGCTTCTAGATGGCTTTGCATTCTATTGTCTTCAGTGGGGGTT